ACGGAATTACTCCACTGCGTGTGTCTGATTATTTTATAACGATTGCGAAGCTGGGTCTGCTTACTGTTGTCCGTCAATAAAATATTGTTAGCATCAATCCTGTAACAAAAACATGTAAAGAGAAAGTTACGGTGAAGGACTGGCTGAAGATGACGTCGACGCCGTGGCGTCTTGATGGCTATCATCATTCGACACTCCTGAAGAACCTGCTTCCTCCCTGGTACTGACAAAGTTGTGAATGGCCACCTGAAAATGTACGTTACAAATATTTACAACGCCAGTACGTACCTCCAAATCGTAGTCGTAAAATTCTAAAAGGTTTCGTGCCAATGTTTCATCGTCTATCGCGCATACTTCCTGAAAACATCCATTTCATCGTATTAAAAACACATTTAAAAATCAGCTGTAATAGATATCACAGTAACAAAACATCATATAAACCATAAACATAATTAACATTTGCGACGTTACAAAGTCAAACGCATTGTATTGCATTCATACGAAAAAATGACAAGAAAACCGCAGAAAAAAAGGGTCGACTGTCGTTGCAAAATGAAAGCAACAACTTTGAGCTAGCAAATTAAATGTAGCAGTTGCGATTGAATTTACGTTCGCAAGACCAATCGATAACCCCGCCCTTACCAGTCCAAAACACAGATGAGAAAGGAAGCGACTGCGGACCGTGGCGAACTCTCGATAAAACTTAGCGATATTTCCCTCATGGCACTGTCATCAGAGAAAACTCTAGTGGTACTGTCAACGCCAGGAGTACCAATGGCGGCTCTAGGTCTTGGAAGAAGGAGTCAGGCTGCAAAAATTCGGCGATGATAACTTGTTCATCGCCTTACGGCAGCCAGAGGCGGGGGCATAGCAGCACAACAACGCCTACCGAAGATCTACGAAACAACGACAAAGATACCAATCGGCAACGGAGTCGCTACCCTTTCTGAACGGATGAGGCAGATAGCGCGATGACATTACAGCACGTGAGAAAAGGCAATACAGGAACGATACCGATATTGGGAGCTTAGTCAGAAACTGCAACATCTCCTTATTCAGTGGAAAAGAGCAGGAGGTAACTAAAGAGGCCGCAAAGTAACAATTCGACATAGCTTGACTTTCGTCAACGAAATGCATAGCCTTCGAGCTCTGGTAGTCTGCCAGCGGAAGTAATTCTACTCAGGTGTCGATATCACCACGCGCACTCAGGCCGGTGTTGGTGTTCTGGTAGAACCTAACCTGGCGGATAGAATCATTAAATCGAAACCTATCAGCGGAAGTGTCAATCCCCGAACTGGATCTAAACAGGCTAAAGCTTTGGCCTCGTTACAGCTGTATGCGCCCAATTCAGAGGGAGAATATGAGTCCTTCATTGAGGAAGCGAAGTGTACCCTGTGAGAAGTGCCGACTGCGGATTCCTTCATTTCAATAGGCGATTTTAATGTGCATATCGGAGTGGATAATGAAAAGTGCAAAGGTGTAATTGGAAAGAACGACCTAAGCGACCTCAACAATAGCGACACTACGTTGCTGCGGTTCTGTGCAAACAACGGACTCCTCATTATGAACACTTTCTTCGACCATCGAACCGTGCATCGGTCTATCTAGTACAGAGAAGCCTGTGCTTAGAAGGCAATGATCGATTTGACAATCGTATCGTCTGACTTTCGAAGCTGTCTGCAATCGATTTTCCCGTAAAAAAAGGGGCGCAAAGCTGTCAAGCAATCCATCAATACTTTGTTTTTGGAACGCTATTCTGTGAGAAATGGAGCACCATGCGACGATCTGCCTGGGGAAGCAACCAGAGAATCAAATGGGAAACATCTGCGGATACAAGAACAGAACTTGAAAACAACATCTCACGACAGTTTGAACAGAACTCTGTGATGACCGCTGGTCTGGAAACCGAAAGGAGGAGCTTTAAGAATGGCGTACTCGGGCCTGCCGCTGAATGCTGCTGT